ACGCCACCCGAAGAGCTCTAATTCTGGCCAAATATCCGCAGATAAAGAAGTTGATGAAAGTGGACCCACACTTCAAATGGACAGTACTTCTCATGGTTTTGACGCAAATCGTGTCGTTTTATTTGCTCAGAAACACGACATCCTTTTGGTTGCTACTAGTGGTGGCCTATTGTTTCGGTGGTGTTATCAACCATTCATTAATGTTAGCCATTCATGAGATATCACACAATCAGGCCTTTGGTGTCTCACAGCCGATGGCCAACAAGGTTTTTGGTAAGGATTTGCTTATTTAAGAAGTTATGGTTATTTGGTAACAAGTTATTTTGGTCACTCAAACCAAACAGGCATCATAGCCAACCTTCCCATCGGTTTTCCGTTTTCGGTGTCATTCAAGAAATACCATTTAGAACACCACCGATTCCAAGGAGACGACATCCTTGACACCGACATTCCGTCCCGTTTCGAAGCTCAGGTATTCACCACCACGTGGACCAAGGTGATCTGGGTCATTCTGCAGCCATTCTTCTACGCTCTGCGACCGCTGTTCGTTCACCCGAAGAGCCCCACTCTTCTCGAGTTCGCTAATGTCGTCACTCAGCTGTCGTTTGACTTCGTGATCGGCCAGACCCTGGGCTGGCATGTCGTGGCGTATATGGTGTGCGGCTCACTCATAGCCATGGGTTTACACCCAGTGGCCGGACATTTCATATCCGAGCACTACATCATGTTTAAGGAGAACAAGGATCAGGTCCTCAAATACAGCGGCAATGAGTTGCAAAACGGCGTTTACGTGAATAACGGCAAACTCCTCATACCGGAGACCTGTTCCTACTATGGCATCCTAAACGCCATCACCTTCAACGTGGGCTATCACGTGGAGCACCACGACTTTCCCTCCATTCCCGGCACTCTTCTGCCGAAAGTGCGTCAAATCGCACCCGAATATTACGACTCGCTTTGCTCTCATACTTCGTGGACAGCCGTCATCTGGAAGTATATCGTGGACCCAAGCGTTGGGCCGTTTGCACGCGTCAAGAGACCACATCGTGACCCCAACGCCAAACTCAACCAATTCTTGAGCGACAACTCGAGTCACGTGAAAGCAGCCAAAGAATAAGACTTAGGATTTGTTAATTAATTATTTCAATATATTTATGAAACTATTTTCTCATAATTTATTGCTATTAATTACATATAATTTTTTGAAAGTGTGAGTCAAAGTTATCTCATATTTTTAATACTGATTAACAGATTGTCTTTATTCTATTGTTTGTTACTTAAAACACTTTTAAGTGATTTTTATGTGATTTTTGTGATTACCGTAATTGAAGCAACGCATAAATTATTATAATGCAATACATCAAACAGTTTTTAATAGCTTTACTATTCACAATTTTAAAAGTTTGATTAAAGAATGTATCGATTTTATCAGACAAATCAATTTAAACCTATTAGACTGGAATATTATCAATTGTAAGAATTATATAATATATAATATAATTTTGTGCCAAAGGGTTGGATTAGTTAGAGTGCGGATCACTTTTATAGGAATATTGTATAATCACAACAGAGGTGTTGAAGTGATTTATAAATTTGCAGATGAGTTGAGAGTTGAATAACTCTTTGATCTCATAATATAACTAAAATGTGCTATATTTGTGAAAAGCAATACTTTGTAAAGAATTTTTATCGCAAAAGAGATGTAATTGTAATAAAAAGCAAATAATTTTTGAATGGATGACTTGATTGAAGTGTATTTATTTTAGCAACACATGAAACGCGGAATATCATCATAAATGGTATCTCTAATGAACTGATTCTATATTTGTAGTGAAGGACAGACACCAATCATCAGATTGTATGTATGAATGCATACTTATATTCTCGAGCGTCATCTTTGACTTCTGGATTCGTTATATAATTTTGTGCAATAATTCAATTAATTTTTGCAATTCATAGGCCATATGCCTATTGGTTTTGTGGCTGTCGTGCCATTTAGACTGTGATTTACTACACAGTAGATTGTGGTTATATGAAGAGTGTACTGGTTTTGTTTACAAATAAATGTATATTACTGTATACTGTATGCTAAATAAATAAAATGATAAATCTTAGGAAAAGTTTGTCCTAAACACCAATTAAAATGTTCTAACTCTTCCACAAATCAAAGTGTATGTTTAGCTAAATTCTAGACTTACGGTTATTGATTATCATAATTCTTACAATTAATAATATGTCCAGTCTAATAGGTTTAAATTGATTTGTCTGATAAAGTCGATACATTCTTTAGTCAAACTTTTAAAATTGTTGAATAGTAAAGACTCTCTCTCTCTCTCTCTCTCTCTCTCTCTCTCTCTTATTCTGGGTTAGAGTATAATTAATTGATTCAAAAAAATTTAATTCTATTCATATTAGATAATTCAATTGAAGCATAGCGTAAGACAATTGCTGATTATATAAAATTTACTTACAATGTTACATGAGTATTGTAGATTTTGTCAATTTTATCCATTATTTCGTAATCTTCTTGAATATATTTGCAAAGGTAAATATTTGAAACATAAATTATATTATAAAACATACAAAACAATTTAGCACTTAAATAGCACTGGAAAATGAAACTATAATATTAAAGATAAAAGACATTTGAACTTTAAACTAATTTGTATTTAAATTTACTTAAACTAATCTAATCATATGGTTTATTGAATATTTTCCTATCAATACAGTATATCTTCTTTGTCACGAGTTTATGGTTAACTGAAAACTAGAATGTTTTCTTCACTACTAATTATTCTCAACAAAGAATAATTAGAATTATTATTTAATTATAATTGTTTTAATGTTTTAATAAGTCATCTATCCTACATTTATTGATTTATTTATATGATAGATTTTGTTGAACAATACTGTATATAAAATAATAGTTTAATATAAAATATAATATAATTTTTACATAATTTTCCTTATATTTTATCAATTATTAAACAAAATTATATCCTTAGCTGTCATTTCCTAATACCTGTACTTTTGATAAAATGAATTTTGTAGCATAAATTGAAGTCAATTTTTAAGAAAAATAAATGTATTTTATTTTCTAATAGAATAATAGAGTAGTTCCTACTAGTTAATGATTAATACTACAGAATATAAAATTTTACTATGTTTGATAAATATAAGTTATATTATATAACACTGAATAATCTAAAAAATGTATTTTATTTTCTAATAGAATAATAGAGTAGTTCCTACTAGTTAATGATTAATACTACAGAATATAAAATTTTACTATGTTTGATAAATATAACACTGAATAATCTAAATTGCATACTGTTTAAATTCAGCAAAATAAAATTGTAATAAAATGAACATGCATACAGTAATGTATTGATTGCTTAAACCGAATTTGTTTAGAGTTGGAAAATGTTAGCCCTGACATCGAAAGTGTGACCCATTGAAAGGAGATTCAGTTTTTGAAAAAGTAAATCGTTAATCAAGAACCTACTCGTTAGGGTTAGTTAGAGCTGATAAAGGCACCAAGTAATGTTATTCAAGTTGTCTTACTCTACAATTGCATTTACAACATTTTTAAACAGTTTTTATTATGTACTGAAGGTTATTAAATATTATTTAAGTTAGTTAAGTAAACAAAATCTATTAAAATAAAGGATGACTATTTATTTAATATAATATTTATATGTAGTAAATTATGTATTCATATTTTGTATATTAGCTACAGCATTAAATAATCAAAAATATTAATATTCAATTAATTTATTATAGAATATTATTAAATTATTAATAACTATAATTTGCATTTAATATGCTTGGATTATATTTGTCACACAATTTTAAATGATTCTCTGAGATTCTCGTAATGTCAATAATTACGGTAATATTATTTTACGATTACATCAATCAATGAATTTGAATATAAAAAGAGCTGAAAGTTGTGGTGAATACAAATATGAACACAAAAGACATTGGATTCAATGTTAAATCTCACTGTAGCCTAAACATTGCTAATATTCAATGGGCGTACAAATGGTTTTTTGTTTAATCTGTGAAACGTTTTTATAATGACTTTGTGGAGGACTAAGACGAAGGTCTAACCCTCGCTACACACACCATACCTGTTAAATAAATCTATGATTGAGTGAGCTATTGAAATATTTAATAACTACGTTATTACATGACTATATATACAATATATAATATAAGCTACAAATAAAATTCATTTAAAATCGGTTTAGCAGAATTATAGTTAACCTTAATTCATATCAACACAATAAAAACATTCATAAAATATATTCTTGATAAATGAAGAATATAAATCCTGTTTTAACACTTTTAACACTGAAAAGTTTAGGGAAAATAAGTAAATAAGTTAATGAAATATTGTTATAACTTTTTTTGTACTAACTTTTATACTTAATGAGTTATTGTTGTTTACTACATGTGCTATGGGAAAGTTTTGAACAAGTTCTTATAAAGCTCTAAAAGTTTCTGAGATATTAATTAGAAAATAAATAAATGTATTTTTGGAGTTTTAGAATCAACCATAAAATTACTCTAAAAATAAATATTTTATTATGATAGTCTTTGACATTTCAAAGTTAATTTTGCTTAATATTAATATACTATTATTATTAATTTTCTATCAATAAATAATTGCCAGAAAACTAATATTTTTGAAATCAGAGTAAGTTTTTGGGATGAATAGACTCTAATAGACTTATAGAATAATATTGTAGACTTCCAATAAAAATAAACCAATTAATTTAATTTTGTGATCTATTCATGTGTACGGATTTTACACATTTACAGTATTTTTGTAATTAATTATTTTAATGTTTTAACGTGTTATGAGTAGAGTATATCATAAACTCGAGTCCATTCAGTTAGACTTTATATCTTCTGTTAGATTCAGTGGTAGGACCACGATATTAACTATAGTCTAGTTTACTTAATTTCAGATTAATTGCAATTTTGTATCAAATAAGTTATTTATATTTGTGTTGTTTTTATCATTATAAAAGTGTACGGTATTATTGTAATCATTATATAAATACTGTATCACGATAAAAACTTGTAAACCCAGACAGGACTAATTATTTTCGTTTTCGATGAAAACATATTTTTCCTAATTTTTCTATTTATTCAAAAGTACTAAGAACTACTGTATTTTATTTAACATTAAATGTGAAAACAAAAAATATTTTTATTTGTATTGTACAGACAAGTTGGCACATCACAGGTGTTATCATGAGTTAACGTTTATAATGAAATGTTTATAACATACAAAGTTTTTACTAATACAGTAACATCATAATTAATAATTAATGCCTCGCTTTGCCAATAATTAAATTTTTATTTTATTCATTTCTATCTCATTTTATTTTAATCTATACTATCATATATATTATAAAATGTATTTATATATATATACTGAATTTATATGTATATAATTAATTCTATTTATTACAACACAAGCAACAAAAATATATTTATATAAATTGTTGTTAAGATAGTTATAATATAATATAATAATGTAGTTTAATAACTCTTAAAACTATAAAAACAAATACTGTAATAATCAATAGATAATAATTGAAAATATATTGATAACAGGTTTGGCGTTATGTTTGAAAACTTATTACACTTTAAAGGATATTTCAGATCTGATCCCAAACTACATAACAATTTAATATAAAATTAATGTAAATATAATATAGGACTTAAAGTGCACTAATAATGATTGTTAAGAAAATTTCTAAAACATTTAAGATATTGATTATTAGCACTGTAATTGCATTATGCATATAATAGGTTACATAACTGACCACAACAAGTTAATTTTGCTTAATATTAATATACTATTATTATTAATTTTCTATCAATAAATAATTGCCAGAAAACTAATATTTTTGAAATCAGAGTAAGTTTTTGGGATGAATAGACTCTAATAGACTTATAGTAATTTTGTGATCTATTCATGTGTACGGATTTTTCACATTTACAGTATTTTTGTAATTAATTATTTTAATGTTTTAACGTGTTATGAGTAGAGTATATCATAAACTCAAGTCAATTCAGTTAGACTTTATATCTTCTGTT